CGCCGGCGGGAGGGCGGAGGGGCCCGCTCGGGTCGGCCTGGACGGGCGTCTGCACCCCTTTCTTCACCTCCACCCCTACGACACCCCGGCGCGTCCTTAGCGCAAAACCGGCCCTGGGTCTGCAACGTCTTTGGGGACCCCACTTGGAACGCTGCCGGGGGTGGGGAGCTCCCCACGCGCCGCAGCTGGGCAGCGGGACGCGATGGGTGGTAACGCCCAGACGTCCCCCCTGTTCTCACACAGTGGATGCGGGGGGTCTGGGAAAAGCGAGGTGGTAGCGGGGGCAGGCTTAGAGTCCACTTAGCACCTTGAACAGCAGACAGACTGGAACAGGCCAGCCAGGTGAGCGGACTCGCAGAGCGCACGGGAGGGCGGGGTCGACAGTTTTCCAGGGTCCCAGCCAGGCGCCCCCCTCGCCGGCCTCCCGCACACCTTTCAGAGCCTGTCAGAACGCCGCGGGCCCTGCAGCCCTCCGACCGCCGGGCCGCGGGCGCATCTGCGGTGCTTCTAAAGGAGGCGGCGCTGCAATCGGGGTCAAGGTCTCATAGCTGCCTTGCTAGAACAGCCAGAGTGGAGGCCCACTTCACGGCGCTGGCTTTGTCGGAAGCCGGCTCTGGGTTACACCCTCACCAGAGCAGAGGCAGCAACTCCTCCAGATTTCAAAATGGCTCTTTCCAGTCCCCAGTTGCTGGCTAGTCATTGGCTAAGTATCCTGACCTCTTTGAACTTCATCAAAAGAATGGGAATAATACTAGTACCCACTTTCCAGGAAGAGTTATAAGGATTAAGGAGGGACGGGGGAGATATGCCAAATAACAAATCCAGAATTTCACACACAATAGGTGTTCTTTTTTTAAATTAAAATTACAGGTCTGTGAAAAAAGGCGTTGTGGATGCTAATTATAATCTCAAGCAGGCACAGTTCCTTTACACTGATCATTAGGCATCCCAAATAAGTCCAAATTGAATTATTCTCGGAACTTCTTGTTTTTTCTCAATACAGCAAAGCTCTTAATGTGGGTACTAGACCAGCTGAGTGCTTTCCTCCTTCATCACTGGCTTTTTTTTTTTTTAATGCAAATGCCCAACTTCATTTACTGAGTGGGTCACTGAATATGGGTTTATACTGGAAGTATTAGCTTTAAACCAACTTTGGGGCAAAAAAAAAAAAGACAACTTTCTCTTCTGCACAAAGATGATAGAATATTTTAGCTCAGGTGTTTTAGTGATGGAATGATCTAGAATCAACATGGAATTTTTAAATAGATTGAATTAAAATATTGAATCTCTAGGGCCCTCCCTGGTGGCGCAGCGGGTTAAGGCACAGCACAAAGAAGCTTAAACCATTTCCACATGAGTTCGATTCCCGCCTGCCGCGGAGGTGATCCACATGGCGAGGCAGACCTCTCCTGACCCTCCCGCTGCTCCCCTCAGCAGAGGACTTCATTGATCTGCCTAATCTGCTCCCCACTCTGTCTCTGGTGAATCCTCTCACCCTGCTCATCTCTGACCTGTACCCCAGTTCTATATGAATAAATAAATAAATCTTTTAAAAAATATATTGAATCTCTAAACAATTTTGGGATGGAGTCTTATTACTCAGACTTCTTCCTAGTTTTTCATAAGGCAGTTTAAAATAATTGCAGAATGCCTACCATAAAGATAGGAGGGAGACAACCATATGACCTTTGCCCTGAGATCACAATCCTCAGAGTTTAAAGACCCAGGACTCAACTACATGAGCATATGTGTAAAGAAAAATCCTTTTTAGAAAAGATTTATCGGGCCCTCCCTGGTGGCGCAGCAGGTTAAAGCACAGCACTGAGAAGCTAAAGCCACTTCTGCATGAGTTCCATTCCCGCCTGCCCCGGAGGTGACCACATGGCGTGGCAGACCTCTCCTGACCCGCCCGCTGCTCCCCTCAGCAGTGTACTTCATCGATCTGTCTGTTCTGCTCCCCACTCTGTCTCTGGTGAAGCCTCTCACCACCCCTGAGCCTCTGGCCTGTACCCCAGTTCTGTATGAACAAATAAATAAATCTTTAAAAAAAAAAGATTTATCTATGCATGCAAGAGCTGGAGTGGATGAATGCCACAGGAATGGGAAACAGGGTGAGAGGATTCACCAGAGACAGAGTGGGAAACAGAACAAGCGAGTCAACTGAAATACACTGCTGAGGGGAGCAACGTGGGGTCAGGAGAGGTCTGCCGCACCATGTGGGTCACCTCCCTGGCTGGGGATCGAACTTGTGCTGTAGTGTCTGTGGATAGCTTCATAATGTTGTGTTCCAACTTCTTGCGTCACCAGGGAGGGCCCCAAAAATCTTTTTTCTAGAAGAAATGTATATGAAAATACTGTAAATGTTCTGGGATGCCCACCCCCTCCCTGGTCAAGCAGGTAAGAACAGCAAGTCACCTGTATAGGCTGAGAGCAGTTTCATCCAGTTCTGTGCAGCAGCCATGCAGGAATCTGATGCCTGCAGGTAACCCAACCTTTCACCCTTTACTGATAATCAAGGAGGCAGCTGGAGATGATTTAAACAATGAATTCATCGCCTTAGTGTCTCCACAGTGCATTCTTTAGAAGTCAGGAATATGATTCGACCCCAACATTTGCCCTCCTCTGCACACAGGCAGCATGGATACTTCTTTAGGTGGAGATGTGGAATAGAAAAACAAAACAAAACCAGAAGCCCCTGTCAAGAAAAGCTTAATTTTTACAATGATTCACTCTGAATTCTCTTCTTCATGTATGCTGCTCTGCAACAAGGTATAGAAAATGAACTCAAACTTGTGATCACTGGAGCAGTCCCCACAGAGTAAAATCCGTGGGATGATTTTCCAGTTTCTGATCCTCACTTTGATTATCTAATGAACACCTTAACAAACAATCATTGAGGCTTTAATTTCAAAAACTGGATAACAAATTGTGGTCATCTTTCCTCTGTCCAGAAACCAGTAAACCTGTTAAACCTGGTCAGTCACCCTGACTATTGGAAAATATCCAGAGGCAGCCTCCAAATCATCATAAACAGATTTCTTATACACAATCATAGATGGACAGAATGGCCATTAAATACATGAATTTAATCACAAAGTTCCATTTTTTAAATGATGGATTTATCTACTACAATCATACAGTAATTAGTTAGTACTTTTGGAGTTTAAGACAAGCTAATTATCAAACCTATAGTGAAACTGAATGCTTTGGCTCCACACTGAATCCACAGTCCCTTGAAATTAATCCTGTTTACTTTCCTTGAAATTAAAACAGCCTCCTGAAATACAATATGGTATTATCTTGAGGGCACAGAATGAATTATTAGGATGGCTATTAGAGCCAATTATTGGAATTCAGGTCTCCGATTACAGTATGATTTATTTATATGCTATGAATATTGATGGAAAGGACAGAAGTGATATATAATTAGTTTTGTTCTGCTTAATAATGCACACAGGGATTCATATTGCAGGCATCTCATCGGATCTTTAACCTCCAAATAACACGTAATTAAAAACCTTTAAAAATATGTGTGTGTATATACATATATGCAAAGAGAGGGAGAGAAAAGAATTTTAAGAAAGGAATTGAAAGGATGTGTATGTACCAAACTTAGGATAATGTCTGAATCTAAGGGTAGAAAGTAGAGAACAGGTCCAAGGAGTAGTGGAGTGGGAGAAACCAGTGGTCAAAGGGCTTTCTCTTTAGTGTTGTGTTTTCAGGATGTTAAAGTAAAACACATTATTTAAGTCATCTTTTGAGTATATACACAAAAGTGATGGAGATATAATAGTAAAAAGACATCTTTGATCCATTAATTCTACATTAGGGAATCAAACTTACAAGTCCTTATGTTCAGATCTACTTACTATGTTAATTATGACATACAATAAGATTGAATATTATTTAATAATAGAAAGAATTAAAGTATTGATACATGCTATAACATGCATGAACGTTGAAGATATTATGCTAGGTAAGAAAAGCCAGTCAAAAGCATCCAATATTGTAGGAATTGATTTTATAAAATATTCATGATTGGCAAATCCAGAGAGAGAGTTGATGAGAGGTTGTCTAAAACCATAAGCATCAGAAAGATGGACAGGACTGATAACAGGTGTGGGGTTTCTTGTTTGGGCAATGTTTACACAACTCTGTGAATAAATATAAAACCATAGAATTTCATACTTCCCATGGGAGAACTTTATACAGTGTGTGAGTTACATCTCAATAAAGCTATTATAAGAACATTTTTCAGAGTACAAAAACACTTTAATATACTATCTGTATAACTCTTAAATTTAAAAATTAAGTTTTCAAATTTTTGTATATATTTGTTTGACTTTTTGCTAAACATTTTATATATAATTTACCTGTACCAAAATAATCTACATATTTATTCAAAGCCATTCCATTATATATATCAATGAATATTTAATGATTCTCAAATTCTTAGGGATTAAAGCTGTTGTTAGTACTTTTTTTCTTCATAAATAATACAACATTAAATAATGAAAACTACACTTAGGGAAATCATGGTCAAATTATTAAAAACTAAACATATGCAAGTCTTAAAAGTAGCCCAAAATACACAAGGAAAACAAAAATAAAAGTGATGGCAGAATTTTTATTACTTAATATTGTAATCATTAAAGGATTCAACACTCAACAATATAAAATTCCAATATTAGCATCTAAAATTATAAGTCAAGAAGCAGAAAAATATGACCTACAATAAAGAGAAAAATAGTCAATAAAAATATACCCAGAAATGACAGATGATGAAATTTGTATAGAAGCACCTTGTGCAGTATTATTATAAGTTTTATAAATATGATCAAGGATACAAAGAGAAAAACAAGAGGAAAAGAGAAGCAGGAATTATAGAAAACAACAATTCAATGAAACTACAAAATATAACAAATACATCAGAAGTGAAAAACAAATGCACATGTGATAGGATTTGCAACAAAATAGACAAGGAGAAGAAAAGATCAACAAGGAAGCATAGCAATAAAATAATCCAAAATGAAACTGAGAGGAAGAAAAAATATTTTTTGAAAAATAAAGCACCATAGACCTGAAAAAGAATATCAGCAAGTGTAACACACATGAACTTGAAATCCCAGAAGGAGATGTAGGAATGGTATGTAAAAAATATTTATGTGACAAAAGATACAGGAAACAAATTCCAAATTTGATGAGGGGTGAATTTACAGACCAAAATTCATTGACTACTTCCATGTAAGGATTCTCAGGACACTAGCAGATTTTTCATAAGGAAACCATGAGGCAAGTGAGATGACATTTAAAGCCCTGAAAAAATAGTCATGCTTCATTTAATAAAGAGGATGCTTTCTGAGAAATGCATAGTTAGATGATTTCATCATTGTGTGAATCTCAAGAGTATAATTACACAAACCTAAAAGATAGAGTTTCAA